GCAAAAAACTAAAATTGCTGAAATCTCAGGAACTATTGCAGTTAGAAAGTTGAAATTCAAAAATTATAATCTTTAATTGGCAGCGCATCTTATAGTGGTACTACTATCCGGCCACACCCACCCATACGCCCACAAGGCTCAAAAGACGGTTTTCGGATTTTCTAGAAAAGCTGATATCTCGGTAACTATAAAAGATAGAAAGTTCGGATTCAGCATGTAGGTTTTTATTATGCTCCCAATGCGAATTGTTTTTTTTTCGATCAAGCCACGCCCACTCTAACGCCCACAAAATCTGAACAACCAAAAATGCAAAAATCTCAAAAACTATAAGAGCTACATAATTTTGTTTAGGATCACGTATTTAGGATATGCCTTTGCAACTTTTTACGAAGTTGCATCCGGCCACGCCTACTCTGACGCCCACAAAGCGCGGAAAACTGTGGCGTCTATAATATTATTATGAATGCCTTCGTTTGACCTTGTATAACTTATTTTTGTTAATATCTATCGATTTACCAAAGATTTTTCAAATCGGAACATTATTTCGCTATTTATGAAGAAATTAAGGTTATAAGGCCTCACACGGGCAGTGACGTCACTATAAGCATACTCAACATACTTCCTCTGAAAATAGGTGGCGCCTTGTGAATTTCCACTAGCAAAATAATATTTTAAAATTTTGTACAACAGTAACGGGTATCTTATGGTCGCGGCACTCGACTATAGCGTTTCCTCTTGTTTTTATTATTAATGGACTCGGCCTGCCATAATCGATGATCGGGTATATCTTATATCTGCCATCGATTTGGCATGCCGAAAAGAGTTGGAAGGAGGGGTTCACCAGATTGGCTGCAGAAGATTGATAAATGAAAACTCTGCCAATACCTATTCATTTTTACATTTAATAGACTGTTACTAAGGGTTTTAAGATAAAAGGCAAAGATATTGTACGGACACTTTTGCTTATACTATATATTTAAGATTGCGTAAGAGTTGGTGGTCTATAATTCAAGTCCAAGATTATTGAAATAATAAAGGAACAGATGCTTAAAAAATTGCTTCATTTTAAATAAACCAGTGTTCCAGTTTATATTTCCATTACAATAACAAGCTTAATTATTCATATAATTTTTAGTTTATATTAATTTTACAAAAAAACGCATCATTGTAAGCCTAATTTATAATTATTTAAACATATTTTCGAATTCAATACAAATGAAATAATCGATAAGAAAACTTATCGGTTCGAGCATGTGCTAACGACAGCTTGGTTTCTTACCAGAAAATAGAATCCGTTTTGACACTACCGAAGCATAAGTAATATACCGTGTAAAACCAATGTAAAATGATCATGTTGTGTATGTCGACGTAAAATGCGTAAGACCAAGCAAACGTTTTTTTCTGCACAGGAAAAGAGTAAAAGCCATTTGTCAAACCTCGTTACGGCTTGAAATACTGATGCTTTCTATAAATATTTTTTGAATACCTAATTTGAACAGTATTGTTCTGATTTTGTTGGGGCGAGTGCTCATTAAATGGCTACAAAATCAGGAAACCGATTTTTAAAAGAAATTTGTAATACTATGCTCGGGTTTTTAGCCCTATCTCGGTCAAAACAAGACGCACAGCCAAAAGAACGACTGTTTTGTGATGCTAACGACCAATACTAACAACCCCTATCACTCGTTTTTCGATTTTGGGAAAATTAATTTTGGCCCAAATTTTGCATTTTCGATAAGGGGTACCATCATCAAAATTTTCAAAAATGCCCAAAAATTAAGTTTTCCAGATTTGAATGCATATTAATTGGGAATCATAGCAATCAAATTACGAGCCCTACGAGGTATTACATTCCCCATTTAGACCATTTTTGGCTGTGCTATAGCAAAAAAATTGATTTTTTTGTGGGCAAAATCATGAATACGCCTTTTGACAGTATAGATTTCGGATTTGTTGCCGTTTCTTAGCTCTCACTTTGTCAACACAAGGCGCACGGCTAAAACGGTGACTGTTTTATGCAGCTAACAACCAAAACTGTAAACCCCTATACCTACTTTTACCAGTATGGTTCTGATTTCGTTGGAGCGAGTGCTGATTTAATGGCTAAAATGTCAAAAACCCCATTCTTGAAAGAAATTTGCAATATTATTTGGGGTTTTTTTACTATATCTCGGTCAAAACAACACGCACAGCCAAAAGAACGACTGTTTTGTGCTGCTAACGACCAACACTTACCACCCCTGTCCATCGTTTTTCGATTTTGGGAATATAAATTTTAGCCCAAATTTTGCATTTTCGATAAGGGGTACCATCATCAAAATTTTCAAAAATGCCCAAAAATTAAGTTTTCCAGATTTGAATGCATATTAATTGGGAATCATAGCAATCAAATTACGAGCCCTACGAGGTATTACATTCCCCATTTAGACCATTTTTGGCTGTGCTATAGCAAAAAAATTGATTTTTTTGTGGGCAAAATCATGAATACGCCTTTTGACAGTATAGATTTCGGATTTGTTGCCGTTTCTTAGCTCTCACTTTGTCAACACAAGGCGCACGGCTAAAACGGTGACTGTTTTATGCAGCTAACAACCAAAACTGTAAACCCCTATACCTACTTCTAGCAGTATTGTTCTGATTTCGTTGGGGCGAGTGATGATTTAATGGCTAAAATGTCAAAAACCCCATTCTTGAAAGAAATTTGCAATATTATTTGGGGTTTTTTTACTATATCTCGGTCAAAACAACACGCACAGCCAAAAGAACGACTGTTTTGTGCTGCTAACGACCAACATTTACCATCCCTATCACTCGTTTTTCGATTTTGGGAAAATCAATTTTGGCCCAAATTTTGCATTTTCGATAAGGGGTACCATCATCAAAATTTTCAAAAATGGGCCAAAATTGAAGTTTTCCAGATTTGAATGCAAATCAATTGGGGATCATAGCCATCAAATTACGAGTCCTTCGAGGTATTACATTCCCCATTTGGACCATTTTTGGCTGTGCTATAGCAAAAAAACTGATTTTTTTGTGGGCAAAATCATGAATACGCCTTTTGACAGTATAGATTTCGGATTTGTTGCCGTTTCTTAGCTCTCACTTTGTCAACACAAGGCGCACGGCTAAAACGGTGACTGTTTTATGCAGCTAACAACCAAAACTGTAAACCCCTATACCTACTTTTACCAGAATTGTTCGGATTTTGTTGGAGCGAGTGCTGATTTAATGGCTAAAATGTCAAAAACCCTGTTCTTGATAGAAATTTGCAATATTATTTTGGGGTTTTTACTCTATCTCGGTCAAAACAAGACGCACAGGCAAAAGAACGACTGTTTTGTGCTGCTAACGACCAACATTTACCATCCCTATCACTCGTTTTTCGATTTTGGGAAAATCAATTTTGGCCCAAATTTTGCATTTTCGATAAGGGGTACCATCATTAAAATTTTCAAAAATGGGCCAAAATTGAAGTTTTCCAGATTTGAATGCAAATCAATTGGGGATCATAGCCATCAAATTACGAGTCCTTCGAGGTATTACATTCCCCATTTGGACCATTTTTGGCTGTGCTATAGCAAAAAAACTGATTTTTTTGTGGGCAAAATCATGAATACGCCTTTTGACAGTATAGATTTCGGATTTGTTGCCGTTTCTTAGCTCTCACTTTGTCAACACAAGGCGCACGGCTAAAACGGTGACTGTTTTATGCAGCTAACAACCAATACTATAAACCCCTATACCTACTTCTAGCAGTATTGTTCTGATTTCGTTGGGGCGAGTGATGATTTAATGGCTAAAATGTCAAAAACCCCATTCTTGAAAGAAATTTGCAATATTATTTTGGGGTTTTTTACTCTATCTCGGTCAAAACAAGACGCACAGCCAAAAGAACGACTGTTTTGTGCTGCTTACGACCAACACTTACCACCCCTATCACTCGTTTTTCGATTTTGGGAAAATCAATTTTGGCCCAAATTTCGCATTTTCGATAAGGGGTACCATCATCAAAATTTTCAAAAATGGGCCAAAATTGAAGTTTTCCAGATTTGAATGCAAATCAATTGGGGATCATAGCCATCAAATTACGAGTCCTTCGAGGTATTACATTCCCCATTTGGACCACTTTTGGCTGTGCTATAGCAAAAAAACTGATTTAGTGTGGCAAAAATCTTGAATACGCCTTTTGAAAGTATAGATTTCGGATTGGTTGCCGTTTCTTAGCTCTCACTTTGTCAACACAAGGCGCACGGCTAATACGGTTACTGTTTTATGCAGCTAACAACCAATACTATAAACCCCTATACCTACTTCTAGCAGTATTGTTCTGATTTCGTTGGGGCGAGTGATGATTTAATGGCTAAAAGGCTAAAAAAACCTTTTTTATACAGAAGAGATCCCAGTTTGTTGCCGTTTCTTAGCTCTCACTTTGTCAACACAAGGCGCACGGCTAAAACGGTGACTGTTTTATGCAGCTAACAACCAAAACTGTAAACCCCTATACCTACTTTTACCAGTATTGTTCTGATTTCGTTGGGGCGAGTGATGATTTAATGGCTAAAAGGCTGAAAAAACCTTTTTTATACAGAAGAGATCCCGGTTTGTTGCCATTTCTTAGCTCTCACTTTGTCAAAACAAGGCGCACGGCTAAAACAGTGAATTTTCTATGCAGCCAACAACCAAAACTGTAAACCCCTATACCTACTTTTACCAGAATTGTTCGGATTTAGTTGGAGCGAGTGCTGATTTAATGGCTAAAATGTCAAAAACCCTGTTCTTGATAGAAATTTGCAATATTATTTTGGGGTTTTTTACTCTATCTCGGTCAAAGCAAGACTCACAGCCAAAAGAATGACTGTTTTGTGCTGCTAACGACCAACACTTACCACCCCTATCAGTAGCAGAAAATCAGGAAATCAGCTTTAGAAAAACAGTTGAAAACTTCTAACATTCGTGTTGTTTTAAAACTAACAAACCATACCTGTTTTGTTTATTTGCAGGCGAAGAGGTCAATGCGGGCTATGATAATTAATTAGCCTTCCGAGGTGGAGGACTGCTATGAATCCAATTGAGAATGGAAGCAATGGAGCAATGGAATGGCATTTGTCTAGCGACACTGGAATACGCATTCGTGGCGAAAATTTATTTTATGTATGATAAAATGAACAATTAAATAAAATTAAAAGAAAAATCGAATATATATGCAATGTTTTATTGAAGAAATTGGGGATTGTAGAATAGTTTTACGCATTTCATTAATATTAACGAAAAAGGTTTGCATACTTTTAGGCATTTCACTAATACAAGAGAAAAATATTAGCATACTTTTAGGCATTCCGCTAAAACAAGAGAAAAAATTATAGCATACTTTTAGGCATTCCAAAACGTGTCGGCAAAACTTCACAAATGAGACGTTTAAAAATTCGTCAAAACTTTTGGCCAGTTATCAAAATTCGTCAAAAATTTCTATTACTAATTTCGTCAAAAGTTTTGACCAATGTGCAATGAAAATATGATGCATGATTTCGGCAAAAAATTTGACCAATTGCAAATTCTGCCGGAATTGGGCAAACTTACCTAATAATATTTTCGTCAAAACTTTTGTCCACTTTTACATTTTGACGAAAATTCGTCAAAAAATCATTTAACTAGTTTTCGTCAAAACTTTTGACGAAATTAGTAATAGAATTTTTTGACGAATTTTGATAACTGGCCAAAAGTTTTGACGAATTTTTAAACAACTCATTTGTGAAGTTTTGCCGACACTTTTTGGAATGCCTAAAAGTATGTATAATTTTTTCTCTTGTTTTAGCGGAATGCCTAAAAGTATGCTAATATTTTTCTCTTGTATTAGTGAAATGCCTAAAAGTATGCAAACCTTTTTCGTTAATATTAATGAAATGCGTAAAACTATTCTACAATCCCCAATTTCTTCAATAAAACATTGCATATATATTCGATTTTTCTTTTAATTTTATTTAATTTCTTTTAATCTTAATACAATAAAAAGTCCGGATTATATTATTTTAATATTATTGAAGTTTTCACATTTTAGTATACATTATTTTACAAACATAAATCTATCGATCTGCGTAACAAAGGTCCTTCCTTGATGAGAAAGCGGGGTCCTTTTAGCTGATTCCATTGGTTATAACGGTTCGCATAAGAGCTCCGCTCAAAGTCCTAGACATCACCATCCACATCGACTTGGTCGCCTAAAAAACATTTTAAATTGAATTAGTTACAAAATTGTCAAGTTTGGCCAATTATTCGTGAAAATGCTAATCTAATAAAAAGTTTTATTCAAAAGCTGCACAAAACAGTTGTAAACGGCAACAAATCCGAAATCTATACTGTACGTATTCAAGATTTTGGTCACAAAAAATCAGTTTTTTTGCTATAGCACAGCCAAAAATGGTCCAAATGGGGAATGCAATACCTCGTAGGACTCGTAATTTGATTGCTATGATTCCCAATTGATTTGCATTAAAATCTGCAAAACTTAATTTTTGGGCATTTTTGAAAATTTTGATGATGGTACCCCTTATCGAAAATGCGAAATTTGGGCCAAAATTGATTTTCCCAAAATCGAAAAACGAGTGATAGGGGTGGTAAGTGTTGGTCGTTAGCAGCACAAAACAGTCGTTCTTTTGGCTGTGCGTCTTGTTTTGACCGAGATAGAGCAAAAAACCCCAAATAATATTGCAAATTTCTTTCAAGAATGGGGTTTTTGACATTTTAGCCATTAAATCATCACTCGCCCCAACGAAATCAGAACAATACTGCTAGAGGTAAGTATAGGGGTTTACAGTATTGGTTGTTAGCTGCAGGAAACAGTCACCGTTTTAGCCGTGCGCCTTGTGTTGACAAAGTGAGAGCTAAGAAACGGCAACAAATCCGAAATCTATACTGTCAAAAGGCGTATTCATGATTTTGGCCACAAAAAAATCAGTTTTTTTGCTATAGCACAGCCAAAAATGGTCCAAATGGGGAATGTAATACCTCGTAGGGCTCGTAATTTGATTGATATGATTCCCAATTGATTTGCATTAAAATCTGGAAAACTTAATTTTTGGGCATTTTTGAAAATTTTGATGATGGTACCCCTTATCGAAAATGCAAAATTTGGGCCAAAATTGATTTTCCCAAAATCGAAAAACGAGTGATAGGGGTGGTAAGTGTTGGTCGTTAGCAGCACAAAACAGTCGTTCTTTTGGCTGTGCGTCTTGTTTTGACCGAGATAGAGCAAAAAACCCCAAATAATATTGCAAATTTCTTTCAAGAATGGGGTTTTTGACATTTTAGCCATTAAATCATCACTCACCCCAACGAAATCAGAACAATACTGCTAGAAGTAGGTATGGGGGTTTATAGTATTGGTTGTTAGCTGCATAAAACAGTCACCGTTTTAGCCGTGCGCCTTGTGTTGACAAAGTGAGAGCTAAGAAACGGCAACCAATCCGAAATCTATACTGTCAAAGGGCGTATTCAAGATTTTGGCCACAAAAAATCAGTTTTTTTGCTATAGCACAGCCAAAAATGGTCCAAATGGGGAATGTAACACCTCGTAGGACTCATAATTTGATTGCTGTGATTCCCAATTGATTTGCATTAAAATCTGGAAAACTTAATTTTTGGGCATTTTTGAAAATTTTGACGATGGTACCCCTTATCGAAAATGCAAAATTTGGGCCAAAATTGATTTTCCCAAAATCGAAAAACGAGTGATAGGGGTGGTAAGTGTTGGTCGTTAGCAGCACAAAACAGTCGTTCTTTTGGCTGTGCGTCTTGTTTTGACCGAGATAGAGCAAAAAACCCCAAATAATATTGCAAATTTCTTTCAAGAATGGGGTTTTTGACATTTTAGCCATTAAATCATCACTCACCCCAACGAAATCAGAACAATACTGCTAGAAGTAGGTATAGGGGTTTATAGTATTGGTTGTTAGCTGCATAAAACAGTCACCGTTTTAGCCGTGCGCCTTGTGTTGACAAAGTGAGAGCTAAGAAACGGCAACCAATCCGAAATCTATACTGTCAAAGGGCGTATTCAAGATTTTGGCCACAAAAAATCAGTTTTTTTGCTATAGCACAGCCAAAAATGGTCCAAATGGGGAATGTAACACCTCGTAGGACTCATAATTTGATTGCTGTGATTCCCAATTGATTTGCATTAAAATCTGGAAAACTTAATTTTTGGGCATTTTTGAAAATTTTGACGATGGTACCCCTTATCGAAAATGCAAAATTTGGGCCAAAATTGATTTTCCCAAAATCGAAAAACGAGTGATAGGGGTGGTAAGTGTTGGTCGTTAGCAGCACAAAACAGTCGTTCTTTTGGCTGTGCGTCCTGTTTTGACCGAGATAAAGTAAAAAACCCCAAATAATATTGCAAATTTCTTTCAAGAATGGGGTTTTTGACATTTTAGCCATTAAATCATCACTCGCCCCAACGAAATCAGAACAATACTGGTAAAAGTAGGTATAGGGGTTTACAGTTTTGGTTGTTGGCTGCATAAAACAGTCACTGTTTTAGCCGTGCGACTTGTTTTGACAAAGTGAGAGCTAAGAAACGGCAACAAACCGGGATCCCTTCTGTATAAAAAAGGTTTTTTCAGCCTTTTAGCCATTAAATCATCACTCGCCCCAACGAAATCAGAACAATACTGCTGGAAGTAGGTATAGGGGTTTATAGTATTGGTTGTTAGCTGCATAAAACAGTCACCGTTTTAGCCGTGCGCCTTGTGTTGACAAAGTGAGAGCTAAGAAACGGCAACCAATCCGAAATCTATACTGTCAAAAGGCGTATTCAAGATTTTGGCCACAAAAAATCAGTTTTTTGGCTATAACACAGCCAAAAATGGTCCAAATGGGGAATGTAATACCCGTAGGACTCGTAATTTGATTGCTATGATTCCCAAATGATTTGCATTCAAATCTGGAAAACTTCATTTTTGGGCATTTTTTAAAATTTTGATGATGGTACCCCTTATCGAAAATGCGAAATTTGGGCCAAAATTGATTTTCCCAAAATCGAAAAACGAGTGATAGGGATGGTAAGTATTGGTCGTTAGCAGCACAAAACAGTCGTTCTTTTGGCGTGCGTCTTGTTTTGACCGAGATAGAGTAAAAACCCCAAAATAATATTGCAAATTTCTGCCACGAATAGGGTTTTTGACATTTTAGCCATTAAATCAGCACTCGCTCCAACAAAATCCGAACAATTCTGGTAAAAGCAGGTATAGGGGTTTACAGTTTTGGTTGTTGGCTGCATAGAACAGTCACTGTTTTAGCCGTGCGTCTTGTTTTGACAAAGTGAGAGCTAAGAAACGGCAACAAACCGGGATCTCTTCTGTATAAAAAAGGTTTTTTCAGCCTTTTAGCCATTAAATCATCACTCGCCCCAACGAAATCAGAACAATACTGCTAGAAGTAGGTATAGGCGTTTACAGTTTTGGTTGTTAGCTGCATAAAACAGTCACCGTTTTAGACGTACGCCTTGTGTTGACAAAGTGAGAGCTAAGAAACGGCAACAAATCCGAAATCTATACTGTCAAAAGGCGTATTCAAGATTTTGGCCACAAAAAATCAGTTTTTTTGCTATAGCACAGCCAAAAATGGTCCAAATGGGGAATGTAACACCTCGTAGGACTCATAATTTGATTGCTGTGATTCCCAATTGATTTGCATTAAAATCTGGAAAACTTAATTTTTGGGCATTTTTGAAAATTTTGACGATGGTACCCCTTATCGAAAATGCAAAATTTGGGCCAAAATTGATTTTCCCAAAATCGAAAAACGAGTGATAGGGGTGGTAAGTGTTGGTCGTTAGCATCACAAAACAGTCGTTCTTTTGGCTGTGCGTCCTGTTTTGACCGAGATAAAGTAAAAAACCCCAAATAATATTGCAAATTTCTTTCAAGAATGGGGTTTTTGACATTTTAGCCATTAAATCATCACTCGCCCCAACGAAATCAGAACAATACTGGTAAAAGTAGGTATAGGGGCTTACAGTTTTGGTTGTTGGCTGCATAGAACAGTCACTGTTTTAGCCGTGCGACTTGTTTTGACAAAGTGAGAGCTAAGAAACGGCAACAAACCGGGATCTCTTCTGTATAAAAAAGGTTTCTTCAGCCTTTTAGCCATTAAATCATCACTCGCCCCAACGAAATCAGAACAATACTGCTGGAAGTAGGTATAGGGGTTTACAGTATTGGTTGTTAGCTGCATAAAACAGTCACCGTTTTAGCCGTGCGCCTTGTGTTGACAAAGTGAGAGCTAAGAAACGGCAACAAATCCGAAATCCATACTGTCAAAAGGCGTATTCATGATTTTGGCCACAAAAAAATCAGTTTTTTTGCTATAGCACAGCCAAAAATGGTCCAAATGGGGAATGTAATACCTCGTAGGACTCGTAATTTGATTGCTATGATTCCCAAATGATTTGCATTCAAATCTGGAAAACTTAATTTTTGGGCATTTTTTAAAATTTTGATGATGGTACCCCTTATCGAAAATGCGAAATTTGGGCCAAAATTGATTTTCCCAAAATCGAAAAACGAGTGATAGGGATGGTAAGTATTGGTCGTTAGCAGCACAAAACAGTCGTTCTTTTCGCTGTGCGTCTTGTTTTGACCGAGATAGAGTAAAAAACCCCAAAATAATATTGCAAATTTCTTTCACGAATAGGGTTTTTGACATTTTAGCCATTAAATCATCACTAGCCCCAACGAAATCAGAACAATACTGGTAAAAGAAGGTATAGGGGTTTACAGTTTTGGTTGTTGGCTGCATAGAACAGTCACTGTTTTAGCCGTGCGTCTTGTTTTGACAAAGTGAGAGCTAAGAAACGGCAACAAACCGGGATCTCTTCTGTATAAAAAAGGTTTTTTCAGCCTTTTAGCCATTAAATCATCACTCGCCCCAACGAAATCAGAACAATACTGCTAGAAGTAGGTATAGGGGTTTACAGTTTTGGTTGTTAGCTGCATAAAACAGTCACTGTTTTAGCCGTGCGCCTTGTGTTGACAAAGTGAGAGCTAAGAAACGGCAACAAACCGGGATCTCTTCTGTATAAAAAAGGTTTTTTCAGCCTTTTAGCCATTAAATCATCACTCGCCCCAACGAAATCAGAACAATACTGCTAGAAGTAGGTATAGGCGTTTACAGTTTTGGTTGTTAGCTGCATAAAACAGTCACCGTTTTAGACGTACGC